TTAGTGTTGTTTCATATTTGAAGGCATCCTCTTCAAAAATGAGGTGCAAAGATAGGCTACTCTTAATTTATTTGGATTTTAACTTCGCCACTGTATACCCAATTCTTTCTTTTTCCTCCGGGAATTTGAGACTTCTAGGTTTGAGTAAACCGCACACGAATTTGTAAAATTTTTATAAAAGCCCCGCAACTCACCGGCCAAGCCCTAGCGCCTGTCCGACCAAGCGATCAGCTGGTCGTGTGTCGTTCTCTGCGGTGAACGGTAGTTTCAATGATTTTCCTTCAGGAACAGGACGATAGGTTCCTTCATAAGCCTCCGATGGCATTCCTAAAATATTTTCTTTTTTTCGAAACTTTTTTCGAGCCGGAAAAGCATCAAGTTCTCACCAGCAAGCGCTAAAGCTTGACTTCGAGCCATAATTAGAGGTTCACGAAGTGGTGGAAGAGCTCGTCGATCGCCAGGACGTGGATGTCGTCCAATCCAATGCTCTTCATCGTCGGGATCGGCAAGATTACTAAACAAACATTCATATTACGAAATTGCTAGGACGGAGCCGGACGAGTTCTCCGTACCTTCTATTAGCCATCAGCACCCGGCTATTGCCGTCTAATCCAACTGGCTGATCATCAATCCTCATACTGATGGTCTCATCACGAACGTGATTTGCATACATAGGAGGCAGCGTTGGTAATCTAGAATGAGCCAGCAATTTATTGGAATTATAGTCAGAAAAATGAATAAATTATGGATCAAAAATCTAAAAAAAGTGTCGTCAAAAATTTTATTTGTCAACTTTTCAGTCATCCAATATTCCTTGACTTTTGCGAAAATTCCAGAAATGTCTATCTTCTTTCTTTTCAACTTCAGCATTAGCAACAAAATGTAACATGATACTTTGAAGCAAACGTTGACGTTAACGCTTTTTTGTAAGAATTTCATTATGCTATGGATACATCTCACATTACGTGGCTTCCGGAGAACAGAGGAAAAAGAAGAAAACTGAACATTGAATTTTTTGCACAACTAGATGAAATTGCCAGAATAAGAAAGCATTTTAAATCTGTCAACAATCAGTGACCCCAAAAAAAGCTACCAAA